GGAAAGATGATCCTCAAGACTGTTTGAATATAGACAGTAAATAAACAAGGCTGCACATTTATGGAAACAGGGTATTTAGCAGGCTTTTACTGTAGGCTGAGGCTTTCAGTGTACGGTCGTACCTTGGAGATACTGTGGGTTCCGTTCCCGACCGACCACCACAATGAAGTGAATATTGCAATAAAGTGAGTCAAATAATTTTTTTAGTTTCCCAGTACATATACAAGTTATGTTTATACCAGACTGTAGTCCATGAAGTATGCAATAGCATTGTCTAAAAAAATATGTATATACATAACTTAAAGAAAAAGCACTTTATTGCTAAAAAATGCTAACCATCATCTGAGCTTTCAGGAAGTTGTCACCTTACTGCTGGTGGAGGGTCTTGCCTTGATGTTGATGGCTGCTAACTGATCAGGGCGGACAACTGGGGTGGCTGTAGCGATTTCTTGAAATAAGACAACAGGGAACTTTGTCATATTGACTGACTCCTCCTTTCATGAACAATTTCTCTAGAGTGTGTGATGCTGTTTGATAGCATTTTACCCACAGTAGAACTTCTTTCAAACTGGAGTCAATCCTTTCCAACCCTGCTGCTGCTTTACCGACCAAGTTATGTAGTGTTCTAAATCCTCTGTCGTCATTTCAACAATCTTCCCAGCATCTTCACCAGGAGTAGATTGCATCTCAAGAAACCACTGGTCACAGGTCCCCACAACAAATATAATAATAATGAGAAAGCTTGAAATATTGCAACAATTAACAAAATATGACACAGAGACACGAAGTGAGCAAATGCAGTTGGAAAAATGGTGTCAACACACTTGGTTGGCCCTGGGTTGCCACAGACCTTCAATCTGTAAAAAATTCAGTATCTGCAAAGTGCAATATAGCAAAGTGCAATAAAATGAGGTATGCCTGGATTATTTTGTTTATGCACCACGATAAACTGATGAAGCAGATATTTGGACCCCTCTTTGCAGACATGGAATCTGACTGGGGATCTGGGAAGTTCTTTGTCCAGGTTGCACAATGGGCTGCTGCTGGATTGGAGCCCAGGTAGGCCAGGCCCACTCTGCCCCACCTATGGCCATTCCTAGAGCAGAGAGCTCTGGCTAGGTATGGGGGCACTCAAAGGTATTAGTTCATCATCTTTTAGGATCCACAGACCCCTTTGAGAATGTGAATGAACTTCGCCTTACACAAATGCACAACCCACCCAGAGTCATAGAATTCCAGGGAGACCATGACCCCTTCAAGCTCATCATAAACTGTAGTTTATGATCACCTGCTCTCCAGGGAAATTATTCCCTTTAGGTCTAATCAAAGTCATATTTGAACCTTGGTTCCTCACCCTCTCCAACCTTGAGTTGAATCTTAATCACCTGTCCTTGAACTTGAGTCTTAATCTCCAAGCCGTGGCTACTTTTGGCTCCAGGAATGGATATTGATGAGTAGTCCGAAAGTCAGGCATGTGTCTGACAGAGATATGATCCTGGGAATCTCTTATTGACATAGTTGATTTTTTTTTGTAATTTTTTTTTGGTATCATTAATCTCCAATTACATGAAGAACGTTATGTTTACTAGGCTCCCCCCTTCGCCAGGTCCCCCCCACAAGCCCCATCACAACATTATACATGCTAATCGTAATGCTCCCTTTTGTTTTCTCTGCCATAGTTGGTTTTCATACAAAAAAATAACTATAGTTTATGTGCCTACCCCATATAAAGTCCTCAAAAAAAAATAAAAACCTGGTATATGATCTTTCCCTTCAATTATAGAGTCCCCAAATCTCAGTCATCTAGCTTTCAACACTTCTTTGAATAATTATATTTTCACATTTAAATTTCATAGCCCTCTAAAAGAAGGAGGAATAATCCCAAGGGGAATTGTTTATTCTCACTATAAAGAATAAAGTAGTCCAAAGCTAGATTTATGCACATTAACTGATTTCATCTCAGTTAACATATACTGAGCATCTCTCCTATTTGCTCAGCACATGCAGAATACCTCACACACATTGTCTTATTTCACCCTCCCCCAGCCACCCCGTGAAGGAGATAAGGCCGTTACTCTGACCCCTATTTCACAGAAGAGGAAACTGAGGGTCAGAGGGGCTCTGTGACCTGCCCAAGGGTAAACATAGGTGAGTAGTGGCAGAGCCAGGACTGAAACTCTGGGTTCCAGATCAGTCCATTTCTTTGTGCCTCGACTTAGGTGTGAAGCAGCACTTCAGACGCAGGTCTCGGGTAAGAACACTGCATACAATACGAACACCGAGAAGCAATCCTGGGAGTACATGCAAAGGGTCATTTTTTACTATTAATTTTTTACATTAGAAAATGTCATCCTCCCTGACATTAGGGTTCTCTTGAGGGTCTTCTTTGCTGTGAAGCCCCCTACTGCCACCCTGCCCCAGTGGAGGGCCTCGTCACCTGGAACCTTGGGTCACTTACCACATTAGGTCATGATCATCTGGTGCCATCTGCAGTGAGCTTTCCAAGTGCAGCAAATCTCTGCATAGAGTCAGGGATATCAGAGGCACCAGGTGGGGAGCATTCATTGCCATAGCAATGGCTACTGGACTTGGCCTCTGACCAGATGTCTCAGCATGTGAGCAGACAGCAGGCTGCCAGGATGACTCAGGGTGTCCCTGCCTGGGATGAGCAGGGGGATGACTCATCTGTTAAGGGAAAGGGACAGGCAGGAGGTTGGCCTTGGATGACAGGTGTTTCTGAAGGTATCGTCTTCTCAGAAAGGCTGAGGGTTTCTGAAGTACAGGGATCACCTCTTGGTCATCTCTACATCCTGTGTGAGCCAAGCACTACACTAGGTAGTAGCCAATAAATGGTGAACTGTATCGTCTAATTAATACCAAGTTGTGCACTGGCATAGTTCACAGTGTTTTCCAAACTGCCCATCATAACCCATTAATGGATCACAAAATCACTTTTGGTGCTGCAAACCAGCATTTTTATTAGTAAGATAGAGGAGAACAAAAGTGAAAAGCCCAACCTCCTAGAGTAAAAAATTAAGAGTGCATAATACCTATAAGGGTCAGTTATTTTCCATGAAAAACATGAAAACTGTGTGTTGGTGGTGGTGGTGGTGTGTGGGTCCTGGGCCACAATATAAGACTCATTATTGTTCTGAGTCACAGTCAAGCATGTTTGAAAAAACAATGGTTAGAGAACAATCTTAGGAAGAAACTTATTTAACCAGTTGCCTGATAATAGGAACATTAAAATCTAATGGTCATTTGCTTCGTTCATCCATGTATTCAGTACTCATCCAAAAAAATGTCTACTCTAGTTGCCTTCTCCAAAGGGCCAGCCTGTAAGGCATGAATGAAGGTGGAACATTCAGGACTGACTGGGTGTGGCTGAAGCCACTGATCAGGTAGCATGGGCCAAAAGAGGTGTGTGACAGGTGCCATCTCATGCCTGCCCATCTTTCAAAGAGGAACCGTCATTTGCTGAGCTTTTGTTGTTAAAGCAGGGCGAGTAGACTTGGACAGCTGACCTTTTGCATTCTGTCTCCCTGTCTCTCCTCACCCTTCCAGTTGGCTTAAAAAATTCACCACCTGCATATTGATACTGTTCCATTGTCCCAGATTATTTTGTCATTGACAGTCTTGTCTCTTCAGTTAGTTTATACACTACTTAAAAATTTCTTCTGTTCCTTTTGCATCTCCAAAATGCCTAGTAGGGTTGGGAATACAGTACTCACTCAATAAATGCTTCCTACTTATTGACAGCTGCTCATTGGTCAGGTCCTTGCTAAGATATCCCTTCATTACTCATCTTCTTCTACCATAATATATATATCACATGGCTTTGAGTTAATATGTAACAGTCTGTCTTCTTTGTGTAGACCGTGAGCCCACTGAGGGCAGGGAGTATGTATATTCTGTCCACCACTGTATCCCTAATGCAACACAATGCCTGTCTGCCTTGTTCATTGCATCCTCAGTGATTGGCACTTGATAGGTGCATGTGTTAGTTATCACCATAGTGATGCTGAGTAACAAGCAATCCCACTATCTCACAGGCATACCAAATTAGCATTTTTTTGTAGGGTGGGGGCAGCTCTAAGCTGCAGTTTGGTACTGGATCTGTACCACGTGTCTTTCCTTTTCCTTAGACCTGCAAGCTAGCCAGGGAATGTTTTCTTTAGGATGACTGCAGAGGTACAAGAGAGCAAGTTCAGCTGCACTTTCAGGCCTTTGGTTCCATCTTGTCTATTAATATATCTCAGGCCAAAGTAAGTCAAGAAGTCGAGCCCGAAGTCAAGGAGCAGGGAAACACACTCTGCTTGTGGAGGTTTGGGTGGTCAAGGGAACAGTGAATATTTTGACTAACCGACCAAAGTAAGCTCTCAGGCTCTTGCTAAATGTTCATAGAATGGAAAGGGAGGGAAGAAAATAATTGGATTCCAGGATTTCCCCTAGGTTTTCATAGTGCAAGATACAAAAGTCTGTGGGGACTCCTCTATCTCCTTACATATGGCTCTACAGAGAAAGCCAGAGCCTGCCTAACAGATAACAGCCCAACCTCCTAGAGTGAAATATTTGTTGAGCAGATAAAGCGTGCCCGCAGAAGTACCACCAGCAAAGACCCAGACTCTTCCTCCAGGGTGCTCAGTGACAGTGGCTGCCTCTGGGGGTGGGGGGTGAATGGGACCGGTTCCACTGGCTTCTCAAGGGGCATCTCTGAGTGGATCGAATCCCTGCCAGGCTGAAGGAAAGGATTCTATTTTGTGTCCCTCAGAAATGTGGGTGTACAGATGAATGCCTGTATGTTTGTTACAATCAGCAGGTCAGAACTTTGAGGAAATCTTTCAAAAATAGCTCTAAACCAAGCTCTTGGTTCCCACGTTGGCTTCAGGGTACCAACTTCCATGCAGTTTGGGGTTAATGCCAGGTTTTGCACCCTTCCCTTGGTTAATTGAAAAATTAACATCTGCTTTTCTTTCATTCTCTCTCCCCACCAACTGCAGGAGCGCTGTGCCTGCCAGACAGCCTGAACCTTCACAGAGACCCGCAGCGGTCAAACAAGCCGGGAGAACTGCCCATGTTCAGCCAGTCAGAGCTGAGGACCATCGAGCAGTCCTTGTTGGCCACCCGCGTGGGCAGCATCGCAGAACTGAGTAAGTTGGACGCTGGTTCTCATGCCCTCTCTGTGCCCAAGCTGCCATTTCCCTCAGGGCAGTGCTTTGTAACCCTGCCAGGTGACACCTTTTATGGGGCACCTGCTGTGCATGCAAAACAGTGCCAAGAATGGCCAGCAGAGAGGAAGGCGACGGCTCTGGAGTGAGGCGGGCCTGGTCAATTTCCTGACTCTGTCACTGCTGTAGGTCAAGTTCTTAACCTTTTCTGAGCCTCAGTTTCCCACTCTCTAGAATACAGAAAATAATAGTCCCTAGCTTAGAGCATAGGTGATTCAGTGAGGTAATGTCAATAAATGGGTTTGCCAGGTGCCTGACTCACAGTATATCCTCTGTAAATGGTGGCTGTTCACTGTTGATTTCCAGCGGGCTCCATTAAGCATCTGTCAGATCACGTGTCTCCTCTGTTCAGTCATCCACTGGCTTTCCATCTGACCCACAGGAAAAGCTGAAGTCCTCAGAATTGATTCTGGGCCACCCCTGCCCCCATATCCCTCAGATTTCTCCTTCCCCTCTCCCCTGAGGCCCACTGAACTCCAGCCACCCTGGCCCCTTGTTGTTCCTTGAACGTGGCAGGCATACCTCAGGACCTCAGGACCTTTGTAGTTCCCGTTCCATCTTCCTTGCCCACTCTTCCTCCGGATATCCACGTGGCTGGCTCCATCACTAACTTCAATTTCATTCAAATGTTACCTTCTCCACTAAGCTTTCCCTGACCACCCTATTTAAAATCGTAACATCCTGAGGGCCCTATAACATTCCCCTATAGTTTTTTGTTTTTTAGTAACAGCTTCACTGTGAGATAATTTATGTATAGTTCACCTATTTGATGTGTACAATTCAATGGTTTTTAGCATATTTACTGAGGTATGTGACCATCGCCACAATCCAGTTTAGAATGTTTTCATCACCCCACCAGATACCTGGTAGCCATTAGCAACCATCCTCCTTCCCTTTCCACCGTGCCACGCTGTGTATTTCACTCATTTATTTTTTTAAATACAGAATCTCTCTCTTTCCATCTCTCTCCCTACTGGAATATATTCTCACAGAGAGTATTTGTTTTTCTCATCGATGTAATCCTAACACCAAGAATACTGCCAGCTGCATAGGAGGCCCTCAGGAGAGATAAAGAAAAAGAGAGAGAGAAAGGAAGGAGGAGAAAGGTGGAGAGAAGGAAGGGATTGTCAAGTCAGGGCATTTGCCATGCTTGCCCACCCCGTAATTCAGGGCTGTGCTCTTTGAGTCTGGCCAACCAGAAGAAAAAGAACTGTATTTACTTATGACCCAATTGATCGTCAAATGGATTAGCTGTGTGTTGGTTCCTGTTGGGACTGAAGCATTGATTTCAGAAATGCTGGCTTATGTTAAAGTATGAGGTGGCCTGACATTCTAGAAAATCCTGAACTATGAAAGGATTCAGGACCCAGAAGGCAACTTGTGCTTTATCCAAAGGAAATCCCTGTACACCAGGACAGGCATTCTCCACTTAGTACACTGCCTGCGCCTGTGGAAAGGGAAGTCGTAGCTGATTCAAGCTGTACAGAGCTCTCTGGTCACTAGGGAGCTGCTTTCCTAACACCCGAATTTGTGGATTGCATTCCCATTCTTATCCAATCCCTGAAGTCACGAGATGCCTACAGTCACAGATGCCTCCAGCTAGCAGTCAGACGTAAGATTGTTCTTAAAACTTTGGGGAGCAGTCTATGGACCCTGCCTCAGGATAATATTTTTAAATGCATAAAATAAGTGCCTACATTGACAAAAGTAACCAATTATATTCCGTTTCTGAAATATTTTTAATAATCAAAATTGTGGTATAGTCATTCTATGCTTTTTATTAGCACATTACATAACAAGATCTAGCAGCAGCCCTGATGACCCCATTATTTGGAGGTGGTGATGTGTTTGAAGCATATTTTGAGACATCTCCAACAATTGTAATGGGATCAGGAAATGCCTACATTTTAGCAGCTCCGCAGGGATTCAGGTGCACATGGTCCCAGCAGCCCCCTTGGTGAAACACTGCTCTAAGAAGAAATGCCACATCATTTGGGACCCCCCCAAATTTCCAAGACATGCCCATGATCCTGGAAACACAGAATCTGGCTACAGGGTGGGTCGTGTCTACATGAGTGTATCGTGGGAAGAGGTTTTCCACCTTTCTTCCCCAGGTGCTCAAAGGTTTGTCCAGGGATATCTTAAAGGTCCTTCCTGGCATCTAACACCAAGGATGGGGCCCTGCTTAACTTCAGAATTCTTTGAAGAAAGGATTTGCTTAACAAATCTGCACTTCACCCAAGCAGGCAGCCTGCAGGAATGGCTTACCGCATAAACTGTTTTTTAGGACAATTTGCTCTGTAAATTAAACGCTGTCATTGTTGTTGAATGTTGACTTTTGCATATGAATTGCTGGCACCCATATGGGTGCTGCTAATTATGAATGGGATTCGTACATTCATTAAGTCAGTCCTGTAAGAAGGTATGCACAGAAGCACATTGATACGCTGCATCTGAACTGAAGGTAATAAAATTACCTTCTTTTCAGATCTGACTGTAATTTAAACTGGCTTGCTCTGTAGTCTGAATCAATACAGCCTCGGTCTCTGTGTACACAGGAAGCTGTTCTTCATAGTCAAACATTTCTCTGCCAGTGTGGATTCTAGAAACTGCTGGTTTTCAGCAAAGGTGAGATGGAGAGCGTTTGTTCCCAGACATCCTTGTTTTTGCATCAGGCTGTCCAGAGTTGAGCCCCTCACCATTGCCTTCTTAGTAGCCAGTAATAATAACAGCAGCAGCTGATGTTACTGAACTAGGGAATGCTGATAAATCTATATGAGTTATTTTTAGTGTAACCATTATTGCCCACATTGATGTGGGAGTGGAGGCGAGAAGAGGAAAAACAACTTGTCTAAGTAAGATCAGCCATATGTGTGAACCAAAGGGCTTGAGATGGAATCTGGGTCTTAAGAGTGTATTCATGCCTCACCACTAAACTGCACCCCCTGGGGGAGGCCCAGCAGATAGTTCGACATGTTATAGGTGGGACTCCCTCTGCAAGTCTGGGGAGTCAGTCGGGACTGTGTTCCTTCCAGCTCAGAGGATCTGCAGTTTGCCCTGTAGGATGCATTGTGGAAGCTTTCCTGGAAGCAGAATTGGAAGTGTGGAAACACAAAGGAGGTATGAAGTACCTCACCAAACACACAGATGGCCAACCACCCCTGCAGGCTGAGACTTCTCCCTATAATGCCTGCTGCCTGTAGCCTTCGGGCATCATATTAAAATCCAAAACTGCCTTGATCAGCCAGGATGCCCAGAGCACTTGTCTTTGTCCAGCCGATATGGCTTGAGGAGAAAATACATCCACAACTTCTGGAGCACTTACTGTGTGCCGAGGGGTTTAACTAGATTAAAAGTATTCCTGCTTTACAGATAAGAAAACTGAGGCTTGGAAGAATAAATGTCATGCCTGCGGCCACACAGCGAATAAGTGACAGAGTCATAATTCAAACCCAGGTTTTTCTTTTTCTATTTGCTACGCGATACCCAATTCAGCTTTGCATTCTGAACACCTAACCCATCGCCCATAGCTGGGGAAATAACTATTGCATGTCGATGAATAAATGAGTGGCTCACAGTGAATTAGTCTGTGAAACAAAAGCTGAAGAAAAGGCTACAGATGAAGGGAACTCTTAATGAAACTCTAGTCAAACATTAAATATGCTATTGAACTGAATTTTTGTCTCAGACACCTAGAACCAAACCTATGTGTGTCTTAAATATTGGACGCTAAACCAGGATACCACAGAGGTCCCCAGACTGACACAGGCTGGTGATTCTTTAACCCTGAGCCCCAGGAAATTTGCAAAGTGATGTGCTGAACTTCACAGTGGACTTAGAGTCTAGTGGGCCGGCCCTTTGGGGTCTCCTCCCTGAACCAGTGAGTAGTAGGTGTGGGGAACCTGAGGCCGTGGAAGCACAGAGGGCCTGGCTTTTCTTACTTTGGAACTAACTCAGCTCTGTGTTCGGTCTCATCCAGTCCCATACTTGTGTCCTCTGAGATCTTGTCTCAGCTCTTCTGCCTCACATCCCAGACTTATGAGCTCCCAATTAATCCTCCACTGGACAGTCATTAATTATAGTGTTTGCTTTCTGTCATTTAAAGGGGAAAAATGAGGGTTTTGTTGTAAAATGCCTTTCTGTTGTCTTTTCACACTGAACTGTGAACTTGTTGTTCCCACTCAATGAGGCATCAAAATGGGGCCATTAATTTACAATTGTATGTAAAAGAGTTTCTGGGCTGTTTTCTCTTTAGTGTCACCAAAAGAAAAAGTACCCAGCCCTTACTGCTTGGACAAGGGGCTCTCTTTCCTTGTTTAAAAGGCAGATGGGCTCTTTTCACAGATTCCTACGCCTCCAACTCCTAGGGTGCTCCTGGGACCCTCTCAGGTGGCAAAGTGGCCACTGGCCTCTTGGTATTCCTTGAATACTCCACTCTACCACAGGGCCTTTGCACTTACTGCTCTTTCTGCCTGGGAAGCTCTTCCCCCATACTCTTAAGACTCCTCCCTCACTTCGTTCAGACTTGTGCTCAAATGTTTTCTCCTCCTTAAGTGCCCTGAGAGATGAGACTTTTTTTTAAAACATCACTGTATCCCCAGTAACTAAAACAATGTCTGGCACACAGTAGGACTCAATAAATCTTTGATGAATGAGTGAATGAATGTTAAGTTTCCTGCTGAATCCAGAGCTCAGCCTTCTGTTCTTCCATCCCTGTCCCTCCAGCTCTCCTCCTTAAAAGCACATCTCCTCCCTCTACTCTGCACCTGATGACGTGGATTATATGTGGTCTTTCTTTGTTTTTCAAGGGGAAGGGTTTCAGTAAGGCGAGTTAAACAGCAGTTTATGATGCTGGAGAACACCTTGGTTCCCTCATCTCTGCTGTGTGACCTAGGGCAAGTGACTTGGTCACTCTGATCCACAGTTTTACTACCTCTGAAAAAAGAGTTATAATGCCTCCTATCCCAGGACTGGGGGATGTGTAAGTGGTAGCTGATCATGGATGAAATGAAGAGTAGGGAAAGAAGTAAAGGTGCTGTCTCAGCACAGGTTTGGGCAGAAGGAGCCCACTGTTGAAGTGTGTGGCCCTTTGTCCCAGGGTGATCACCTCGAGTACATAGGAGAACAGTTGAATGGGAGCTTCACTGGTAGCCTGACTCTGGTGGATTAGAGCGGCATTTCCCAAAGAGTGGCACTGGAGACGATCACAGATGATACACAAAACACATTCTGTTTTTAATTGCCATGAATTTTTTATGGGCACTAGAAAAATATTGCTTTTCCATTTATGGCACTGATATGGAGTTTCCCTTTCAAAGGAATTTATTTGTGTGAAAGAATGAGCCAATTTAAAGAAAAATATTAAGTAAATAAATTGTATGTGCAGCATACAGACATGAGAGACATCATGATGGTGATTCGCAAATGGCTGCCATTCAGGAACCCTTGTTAAACGGGTGCTTGAGTAGGTGCCTGGACCCAAACTCCAGCTACCCAAATGCAAGGCAGCTGGTGACCAGTGGATTTGTTGTTTGGGGTTCATGAGGCTGAGAGGTGAAGTAACAGACAGCACATCCGTAGAGCTGGATTTGACATGGAGCCAGTGATCACAGAATCCCTGTGCCAATTCCATCTCCCAAAGCCAGCCCTCCGGGACGTCCTGAGGGCCTCTGATCAGAGGCTAGGTTGGTGCCGATAATGATGGATGATGACGATTGATGGCGGTGATGATTGATGACGATGGTACTGGAAATGACTGTGATGATAAAGATGGTGATGATGACGGTGATGATGATATAAAGAAAAATAAATAGTGCTGAGTACTTATTAAGCATCTAGGCCTCAGACTCTGGATCAAAATTTTTCAAAGCCCACAACCTGAGGTAGCTCTCGACTAGTGCTTTTTTGGAGGCCCTGTTATGTGGTGACCAGGAACACGAGCCCCAGAACGCTGGCTGGGGTTGCAGCCTGCCGCTCCCTGAATGACACCTGGGCATATCGTCCCGTCCCTTGATTTTCACATCTCTGAAGCGGCTGTAATAATTCCTGTCACGTATGGCTCGTACGTAAATTAATCCAGGAAATGTATCTACATGGCCTGAGATGTGGCAGGTGCTCAGTCGGTTCTTCCCACCTCTGCTGCCACCTTCCCTCTACTCCAGGTCACTGTCCTCATCAGGAAATTCAAACATTGTCATTTGTACCCAGTCCCACTTCAGATCTGCCATCCTGCTGTCCTTCCAGGTTCCCTCTCAGTGTTCACTGATGGGACTCTCTTCTTTGGACCAGTGTTTGGAGCAGCTCCTTGCAGGACTAGCCCCTTATCAGACGAGACTGATGGGACTGGCCCCAGGCAGGCACCCAGCTTCCTGTTTTTCTCTCTCCCAACAACTGACGTTTCTAAAAAGTGAGAAAGTAGAAAGGGAAAAATAAGCAACTAAGGACCTAGATGTACCATTAGGATGCCCAAAGTGAGTGGCTTTGCAGCACAGATTCCTAAAAAAGTGAACCCCAGTGGGAAGCAGCAGGTCAGACACTGGGTCGGAGCATGGCAGGACTGTCCTCCCATGTCTCAGGCACTCGATCTCTAGGGCCACCACTCAGAGAACAGGAGGAACAGGCAGGCCCCGAGCCTGAGAGAGCTGCGTGGTTAGAACCAACAGCGCCAGGCCCTTGCTCTTTGCACTTAACCTTCACAACCACCTGATGGGGGAATATCGTTTCCTCACCTGAGAGGTGAATTGACTTGCTGGTGTTACCCAAGTAAGTGGCGAAGCTGGGATTTGAACTCCTTCCCCTGACTCCGACCTACTTTGAACACTGCTCCTTCACATTTTCCATCTGTAGGTCCTCTTGGAGTCCTCCCTGCCCACCTACCTCTAAAAGAGAATTTCTTTCCCTGATTCTTTTTTGAGTTTCTTGGGTGTATTTTCCCACTGTGGGAAATGGAGAGAGGAGGGTCAGGCTCTGGGCTAGGTGCACTAAGATGCAGAGGGGTGTGGGGCAGCAACCCCCACTGCTGTTTGTCCAAGCCCTGTATCCACTGTCCAGATATTAAGCTTAGTGGATTGTACTCTGGTTAGGTGATCCCGATAAGGCCTTAGGACTCCGACAACATGGAAGTTTCCTTTCCTGCGACAACCCCTATCAGATACAGTGGCCTTTCGAAATCTTGTCGTGAGAAGAATGTTAGGACTACATCTACACTCAGTGAAGAGCTCCGTGGTTGATTAACCATGTCTGCCATGGACATGGAATAGAAAGGGGGATATGCGCCATTTCTGTCCTCAGCTGACACCTCAGTCCGTAGTAGACTCCCCTAATGGGTTTCAATCTTCTTTTGAGGATGTGGCCCCTCCCTCAGACAGAAAAAGGGAACCTAGGAGGGGGGCCCTGGGCCTGCAGAGGAGATGCTCTGGCTTCTCACTGAACCTCCCTTTCTTGGGTTTTGATTTTAGGTAAAAGTGTCATGTTAAACAGTACAGCTGGACAGCAGAGACCTGGTGGGGTCTGTAGGCCTGGTTTCAACTGGACAATGAGGGATTAGGAAGAGGAGAGGCCATCTCCCACCCCCATCAGGGACTAGAAGTGGGGATGGGTTAAATTCCAGCAAGAGCTGATGTTGCAATCCTCAGCCTGAAGGCATTCTGAACCAGCACTCCTTCTTCTTCAAGGTCTTTTTACTTAAGGCCTTCAACCGATTGGATGAGGCCCGCCCACCTTATGAGTAGCAGTCCACTTTACTCAAAATCCACTGACATAAATGTTAGTCACATGTGAAAAATACCTTCACAGCAACACTTGGACTAGTGTTTAACCAAGCAGCTGGGCACCACAGCCTAGCCCAGGTGACACGTAAGGCTAGCCATCACAGACACCCTTCAATGAGTCTCTCCCCAAGTGCACCACTCACCCACTGTGCAGGCGGGGCGGCGCAGTGCATTAAACAACTCTGGTCAGGGAGTGTTCTTTTTTATTCTAACTGCTTGAAGAAGAATGGTTCCATTTGAAATGCGCCCCTAATTCTTCTCGTACCTTGGTTATTTATAACAAAAGAAAGGAGGACCAGAATTCAGCTACAAATTCAGGATGCTGTTTTGTTTTCGTCAATTTAATTTGTATAGTGACCTTCTGTTTATGGCAAGTGATACTGACTTTCCCTTTATGTGTTTAGATACATGTGTTTTTCAAAACTGAAATGAGTCCATTAAAAGTTAATTAAGTAACAGTGCAGATGGTGTGTGGATACAGCTATGCTCATAAAGGTGACATACAATCGACCCAAGTCTGGGAAACCCCATCTTAGCTAAGAAAAGGCAGGGCTTCCAGGCGCAGCCAGCCTCCCCACAGGAAGACTCTCCCTGCATGGCCAGCCTGGGAGCAGGTTGGCATGATTAAGGAGAAGGCTGGTTTCCTTCTGAGAAAGGAGGAGAAAGACTGGAGTGTTCCCAGGGCTTGCAAATGCTGAGCAAGAGGGGACATCTGTCCTCAGGGAGCATGGTTAAGTGCATGGATGCTGGAGCCAGGCTGCCTGGGGTCAAATCCTGGCTCTGCTGCTTGTGGCTGCTGGACCTTGAGAAGGTATTTAACTTCTCTGGACCTCTGTTTCCTCATCTGTAAAATGAGTTTATAAAGGTACCTACTTCACAGGGTAGTATAAGGATTAAATGAATGAAGGTGCTTAGAACTGTGCCAGTGCCTAAGTGGTGTCATTTAAGACTGTCACTGTAGCTAGGAGAGAGTGACAAGGACAGTGGCAGTTCTAACACAGGGCTCTAAGTGCTGTGATGAGGGAAGCGCAGTGTGGTAACACACAGGGAAGCAGAGCAGGCTGGTTACTTGGAGAAACTCCTAGAAGCTGATACCTGGGAGATCAGTAAGAGCCAGCAGAAGAGGAGAGAGAGAAGGCTCTGCATAAAGGGAACAGCAGATGCACGGGCTCAGAGGCGAGCGACGATTTAGTCTGTTCTTGCGACTGCAAGTAAGGCAGCGCTGGCTACGGCAGAGGATGTGACAGGGTGTGTCCCAAGGTGAGGGAGGCCGGAAGCAGAGGCACACAAAAGGTTTCTGGGCCTTGTTAGCAACAATGGGCTCCAGAAGGACAGGACTGCGATGACCTTAACAGCACTCCGTGCTTGAAGCAGCAGCCCCAGCCTGGTAAGCCCACGACAGCTGCATGGTAATGAACAAATGCTTTCCTCTCTGCCTGATGGGTGACCTGGAGGTCCCATGGGACCACTCCAGCTGAATGAGGGAGTCCAAGGCTCAGAATCTCTGCAGAGATCTTCGGGCACATCTCTGCACATCTTGACTGCTTGAAGGATCTGAAATCTTACTTCTGTCTGCAGGTGACCTGGTGTCCCGAGCAATGCATCACCTGCAGCCCCTCAATGCCAAGCACCACGGCAACGGCACCCCCCTGCACCACAAGCAGGGGGCGCTCTACTGGGAGCCGGAGGCCCTGTACACCCTTTGCTATTTCATGCACTGCCCACAGATGGAATGGGAAAATCCCAACGTGGAGCCTTCCAAAGTCAACCTCCAGGTGGAAAGGTAAGACTTGCCTTGGCCTTAGACAGCCTAGGAGAGGAGCCTCCCCTCTGGCCAGCAGTGCTTTGTGGTGGGTGGTGCAGCCTCCAGGGTGGCACAGGGGTAGGGGAGGGGAAGGATGCTGGGAGTCAGAACTGCCCAGTTCTCAGATACTCGCTGGAGGGTCCCGATGGGAACCTTGTCCTCAAGGGGTATCTGAGACCCGACTGGGGTCTTTGAAATGGGTATGCATAGGGCTGGCCTAGTTCAGGACAAAGCCTGGTTCAGAAGGGTGGGTGTGCAGAGGAGTAAGGAAGGTCCTCTGCAGTGTGGTTGGCTCCCTTGCAAAGGTAGGGCTGGGGCATGCCCCTCCTTGGGCGGGCGGTGCGGTGTCTTATCTTCGTTTCCTCCGGGCTGCCCTGGGGACTTTCAGAGGGAGCCATAAACATCTGCTCAGCTGAAGTGGGCCTCCCCAGTGGGCAAGAGACCACCTGCCTGAGGGGAAGCAAAATCCTCATGGGAGAGGAAGAAGAGAGGAAGCTCCCTCCGACCGGCTTCCCTTGCTCCCCAGCGCCGTCCCTCTGCTTCCCCACACCTCGATTCCCCACCTGCAAACAAGCAGCTGAACTAAGCGGTTCCCAGGCTCCCTTCAATCTGGAGAACCCCAGGATTCTCTCAGGATGGTTTCACTCTGTCAGAGGAGGCTGTCTGGAGGTGTCCCTCTTCCTCTAAGAACAGGTCCAAGGAATTCATCTCCCCGCAGGGGCTCACAGATCAGCCCCTCCTCCACACAGGACTGTTTAATTCAACTACTGCAGTGGTGACCCCTTGTTACCAAAACAGAGGCCAAGAGGGCTGGCTCTGTGATCCATGCTGCAGGGTTCAAATCCCAGGTTTTCCAATTAAAAGTGGGAAGAGGTGGTGGCCTGGGGCGGGGGGCTTCTTCATCTGCAGAATAAGGCTACTAAGAGTAAAGCCTGCAAGGGCTGTTTTAAGAGTGAATGAAGTGAACATTGCCCAGTACATAGTAAGTGCTCAGTTGATGTCCACATTTACTATTGTTGTGCGGTAGATATTATTGGCATATGGCTGAACAGCTCCCAGTTTGGGTTCATTGCAGTTTGCTTTTTCTCTGTTAAATGATTCCAAGTGGTTTTGAAATGCTCCTCGGCTGCTCAGTTTCTGCCAAGATGGAGTGGGGCTTACTTGGGCTCCTTCACAAAACCACGTCTCTTTGATTTCGATTAAGGGAAGAGAGTGGGGCATGGGCTAGACAGAAGTAGCTTTTTTATTTTTTAAAGAATCCCAAGTTAGCAACAATTTCTTTCCAGTCTGGAGTTAGCTTAATCAGGGAATTGTGCAGGTCTACTGTTACCTAGAATCAGTGCCAAACATGCCCCAAATGGAGAGGGTAAGTGCCTCTGGTCCATAGGCAAAAAATAATCTCAGGCAGACACACCAAGACTTTGCTTTCTATGAGTGTGAATCCAGAGAGGTGACAGGATAGAAGCCAGGGACCTCAGCCAGTGGGGCATCTGGCTCTTCAGCCCCCCTCCCAGTAGCCTGGTCAGTAGAGCGGCTTCTCTGACTCACCTCCCGTCTCTGTGTAGATGACCCCCCTCTCCATCTCCAGCCAGATGTGTCCTCTGAGCTCTAGAGCCTTCTCATCCCACTCAGCTCCCCGGTTTCCCCTGCCAAGTCTCAGGCTCTCAGCTGAGCGCTCTCTGCAATTTGTAATTATATGTGTGTCTCTGCTTTATTGTCTTTAAGCTTCATGAGGGCAGGGAACACATCTATTTTGGATGCCAATCCACACCTAATGCCAGGCTCAACGTCTGGTGCATAGGAAGGAGTCAATAATAGAATGAAAGAGGGAGCAAATCTGTTGATGCAAATGCCTGCGGAACATTTCCGTCCGGAGTGCTCACGACGATCTAAAAGTAAAGCCATCATCTTTCCCCAAAACCCAGCTGCTCCTCCTTCCTCCCCCACCTCTAAGAATGGCATCATCATCATCAACTTGGCCACTCGAGTCAGAAAACTGGGGCTTGTCCTTCGTCTCCCTCACTCCCTCCTACAGCCACCCAGTCAGTGGGTCTTACTGACTCTTCCTCTGTGACGTCTTCCATTTCTCTCTTCCTTGCTCCCCAGACTGCTGCTGCTGCGTGGCTCTGGACCCCCTTCCCTCTTCTTCTCTTACTGTGTTTGGTTTCTAAATCACCTCCCAGGATGGGAGGCTTAATATCCCCTGACCAGCTCCATCCTCACACTCACCAGACTGAAACTCCTAAAATATAAATCTCATCACGTAACGGACCCAATGCAGTTGCATGACTCCTTTTATATTTTCTATCACTCAATTTCTATCTTCCCTTCTGGAATCCAGTTCAGGATTCAGAGGGTAGTTGGAGCAGCTGTAAGTCTAGGGAGACCATCTAAGGATTCCAGACTTCTGGGACAGAAGAGGCATGAGGTACAAGGGAGATCAAAGAGAACGGGTCCCAGAATTTGCTGGACTCATTTACCTCTGTCTTTCCATTCTTCCTTGCTTGAATTTGCAGGGATGAGCACAAAACACAAAGTAGAACTTGTAATGTTTTGAGTTGTGTTCACGTTCCTGGAAAGAGTTTGGATTTGGGGGTCAGACTGACGTTTGAATTTGGATCCCAGCTCTGCCTCTCCTCGCTGAGACCTTGAACAAGTCCCTTCATGTCACTGAACCTCTTTTCCTCAACTGAAAAGTGAGGAAAAGATCAGCCTCATGGGACTGGTGTAAGGAATAAATTGTAGATTAAGAAATCTACAATTTCATTTCTCTATCCCTTCCTTCCCAGAGGGGCAGCTACTTAGATATTGTAGCTAAGACATCCAGGGCCACACACACCCCAAAAAGTAGCTGATATTATCATCCTATTTATTTATTTGTTTGTATATTTGGTTGGCTGATTGGTTTTGGCTCTAAAATGCTATTACTGTGACCTCTATGGAAGCCTGTATGTGATTCCTTCTAGACAAAAGCTATTTGTATTCTGATGACACAGGCATTGCCATTTAGCTTCTGAAAACACACGTGAAAGGGTTTCAGAGGAGAGTGGGCTTCTGTTTTCAGTCAAGTGTGTTCACACCCACTCCATACCAAAGCCTCCAAATGAGAAATCTGCAGTGGGAGGTGAAACTTTAATTTGGAGTCATTTTCCTCTCTCTCTTTCTGTCTCTCCACCCGCCAACCCCCACCTCAAATCAGGCAACATTTCATTGACTCTTTTTCTCTATTCCGGCAAAGCCAAGTAGGGCCATATGCTTATTTGGTTTTCCATTAGATTGTGGTCTTCAGGAACAGACTGAATATTGTCTGCTTTTGTCCATGCCCAGCAGAAAGCCTGGGAAATAGTCGTTGACTGAAATATGGAGTGTTCTGTGCCTCAAACCATCTTTACTTGTCAGAAGAGCCCTTCTTGGCTGGAGTATTTGGAAGTAGGCCCACATGCACCATTTTCCTCTTTCCTGTGGGCACAGCTTAGAGTTGCCGCATTTGTTTTGGAGGGTTTCATTTTTCATTGTGGGATTTGCAAGAAGCTCAGCATCAGTATGAAATTTCTGTAGTCTTAAGTTTTTCCAGAACTTTGGCTGCTATTTTTTGAGCTTCTAACATCTTTCAGATACTTCAGCTATTTTTATTTAAAAAAAAAATGCTCAATAAAATGTCAGATTTATGATGAGGCAATATTTATCTTCCAGATAGCAATGATAAATGTAAACACTTTACTTTTGATGGGAAGAGCCATATAAAGCTGCTGTTTTTAAACAGAATCCTCTGAAGTGTATGACAAGACTTTCCTCCCCTATATCATTACACCATCAGTGATTCCTAGATGTGTTTGGCCATGGATGATTTCAGTAATTTGTTACCACAAAATGAAAATACAGCAGGATAACTTGGAATATTTTGTTGCCTGAGGTAGCTGGTAATGCCTGAGAGGAGTAGAGATAGGCTTTATCCAGATGACTAGACAGTCAGGTAGTTCTACCCTCCCCCAGTTCCACTGAAAACAAGCCAGAATGTATACTAGGCAGACATCTCTCACCCCCTTTTGCAAGCAGAGCTGTACAGATGTAGTGGACTGTCTACCAGGGAAATCTGAGCCAAAGACATGAGTATATAATCACCAGTCACCGACTCTTTGAGGAAAACTATTGGGAGAAACAAAACAGTCTTAACAAACAGAAGAATTTACACTTGAAGAAACAGAGTTAATAAAGCAAACCTACAGACACTAGAAATTAATGGTACCCAAATATATCTTCCAAGACACTCACCCTACCGAAAGGTCACACCAACAGTTCCAAATGCCTTCTCATTGGCAGTATATGTGACAAGTAATACTCACATTTTTACATGGACTCCTGTGGATACACCCAGGATTATGTGAAGTTGCCAGCATGCTACTTCAACTCTTCCTTGTTCTTTCCCACGAAGGAATGTATGTCAGAATGCAGGTGGGCAGAGGTATCCTTGGTACAATCAGGACTATTAGCAGAAATGCTCAGATGCGAAAGTTGAACCTACTATGACTATTGAAAAAAGAAAAATCTCTGGGAGGCAGTATGACAGAGGGTTACCAAATCCTTTCTCCTTCCACATGAGAATTTGACCTTGGGCTAATTCTCTTGCTCTGTTCCCCTGGAGATCTGATGAAAATTGCACTATCAACTGTGTTACTAAGCAACATTGCTTATGGTCAGAGTGACCCTACGCTGGTAATTTAGATCTGGCCTGGTAGTACTATAAATACTTGATAAATATGCAGAGCTCTGGGCTTCTCTGAATTCATTAGCTCTCTTAACTGGCAATGTCCTTGTAAGCTATTTCTATGGAGCTATTACTAGAGATATTTGGGTCCATAAACCAGGGCAGTTCCGACAAGTGGATCTCATCTCCATGTACTGGAGTGTCACCTGGGCAAAAAAGTAGCTCCAGGAAAACTGGGAGAATTGCTATAAGGATTACTACCACCGAAGGGAAC